GACCTAGCTCTGATACCACTGTTGGGGAACGTTGCAGAAAACAAAAAATTTCCTACTCGTTTCACCAAGATCATCTAGGAGTTCATCTAGCAACGAGAGATTAGATGCATCTACATACCTTTGTAGATCGCGCACGGAAGCGTTCAAAAGAACGGTGATGATGTAGTCGTACTCGACGTGATCCAAATCACCGATGACCAGCGCCGAACGGACGGCACCTCCGCGTTCAACACACGTACGGGATGGGAGACGTCTCCTCCTTCTTGATCCAGCAAGGGGGAAGGAGAGGTTGATGAAGATCCAGCAGCACGACGGCGTGGTGGTGGATGCAGGGCGTCACAGCAGCAGGGCTTCGCCGAGACTACGAGGGAGAGACGTAACGGGGGGAGATGGAGGCGCCAGGGGCTGGTCTGAAATCCCTCCTCTCCCCCCCACTATATATAGGGGTTCCAAGGGGGGGAGCCGGCCCTAGTAGATGAGATCTACTAAGGGGGCGGCGGCCAAGGGGAGGTTTCCCTCCCCCCCAAGGCACCTAGGGGTGCCTTCCACCACATGGACTCTTCCATGGTGGAAACCCTAGGCGCATGGGCCTATAGGGGCTGGTGCCCTTGGCCCATCTAGGACAAGGCGCACCCCCTACAGCCCATGTGTCCCCTCGGGACAGGTGGCCCCACCCGGTGGACCCCCGGGACCCTTCCGGTGGTCCCGGTACAATACCGATAACCCCGAAACTTGTCCCGATGCCCGAAATAGCACTTCCTATATATAATTCTTTACCTCCGGACCATTCCGGAACTCCTCGTGACGTCCGGGATCTCATCCGGGACTCCGAACAACATTCGGGTTTCTGCATATACATATCTTCATAACCCTAGCGTCACCGAACCTTAAGTGTGTAGACCCTACGGGTTCGGGAGACAAGCAGACATGACCGAGACAACTCTCCGGTCAATAACCAACAGCGGGATCTGGATACCCATGTTGGCTCCCACATGCTCCACGATGATCTCATCGGATGAACCACGATGTCGAGGATTTAATCAATCCCGTACGCTATTCCCTTTGTCTATCGATATGTTACTTGCCCGAGATTCGATCATCGGTATCCCAATACCTCGTTCAATCTCGTTACCGGCAAGTCACTTTACTCGTACCATAATGCATGATCCCGTGACCAGACACTTGGTCACTCTGAGCTTATTATGATGATGCATTACCGAGTGGGCCCAGTGATACCTCTCCGTCATACGGAGTGACAAATCCCAGTCTTGATCCATGTCACCCAACAGACACTTTCGGAGATACCCGTAGTCTACCTTTATAGTCACCCAGTTATGTTGTGACGTTTGGCATACCCAAAGCACTCCTACGGTATCCGGGAGTTACACGATCTCATGGTCTAAGGAAAAGATACTTTGACATTGGAAAACTCTAGCAAACGAACTATACGATCTTGTGCTATGTTTAGGATTGGGTCTTGTCCATCACATCATTCTCCCAATGATGTGATCTCGTTATCAATGACATCCAGTGTCCATAGTCAGGAAACCATGACTATCTGTTGATCAACGAGCTAGTCAACTAGAGGCTCACTAGGGACATGTTGGTGTCTGTTATTCACACATGTATTACGATTTCCGGATAACACAATTATAGCATGAATAAAGACAATTATCATGAACAAGGAAATATAATAATAATGCTTTTATTATTGCCTCTAGGGCATATTTCCAACACGCCCGCCCCCTATTGGGCGTGCCCCCTATCTCGTGGGCCCCTCAGGCGTCCACCGACCTAGTTCTTCCTCCTATATATACCCACGTACCCCGAGAACATCAGAGGCGACCACGAAAAACTATTTCCATCACCGTAACCTTCTGTATCCGCGAGATCCCATCTTGGAGACTTCGTCGGCGTTCTGCCGGAGGGGGAATCAACCACGGAGGGCTTCTACATCAACACCATAGCCTCTCCGATGACTTGTGAGTAGTCTACCACAGACCTTCGGGTCCATAGTTATTAGCTAGATGGCTTCTTCTCTCTCTTTGAATCTCAATACCATGTTCTCCTTGATCTTCTTGGAGATCTATTCGATGTAACTCTTTTTTGCGGTGTGTTTGTCGAGATCCGATGAATTGTGGGTTTATGATCAAGTATATCTATGAGAAATATTTGAATCTCCTCTGAATTCTTTTATGTGTGATTAAGTTATCTTTGCAAGTCTCTTCGAATTATCAGTTTGGTTTGGCCTACTAGATTGATCTTTCTTGCAATGGGAGAAGTGCTTAGCTTTGGGTTCAATCTTGCGGTGTCCTTTCCCAGTGACAGCAGGGGTAGCAAGGTACGTATTGTATTGTTGCCATCGAGAATAAAAAGATGAGGTTTATATCATATTGCATGAGTTTATTCCTCTACATCATGTCATCTTTCTTAATGCGTTACTCTGTTCTTTATGAACTTAATACTCTAGATGCATGCTGGATAGTGGATAGCGGTCGATGTGTGGAGTAATAGTAGTAGATGCAGGCAGGAGTCGGTCTACTTGTCACGGACATGATGCCTATATACATGATCATGCCTAGATAATCTCATAATTATTCGCTTTTCTATCAATTGCTCGACAGTAATTTGTTCACCCACCGTAATACTTATGCTATCTCGAGAGAAGCCACTAGTGAAACCTATGCCCCCGGGTCTATCTCTTATCATATAAGCTTTCAATCTACTTTTATTTGCATCTTTACTTTTCCAATCTATATTATAAAATACCAAAAAATATATTTATCTTATCATATTATCTCTATCGGATCTCACTTTCGCAAGTGGCCGTGAAGGGATTGACAACCCCTTTATTGCGTTGGTTGCGAGTTCTTGTTTGTTTGTGTAGGTGTGTGGGACTTTTGAGGAGCCTCCTACTGGATTGATACCTTGGTTCTCAAAAACTGAGGGAAATACTTACGCTACTATTACTGCATCACCCTTTCCTCTTCAAGGAAAACCAACGCAAGCTCAAGACGCAGCACCTGGCAAAACAAGACGACGTACGCTATGCTAATGTTGGGGCCTCGGCTCTAGATTGAGGAGATTTGGGTGATGCATGCCGCCCGCATCGCAGCCGACGTGCCTCTGGATTAGCCGGAGCCGAGTGAGGAGGAAGAGGGGTAGCACCGGTTCCTATGAAGGTGGTGGATCCGGAGAAGGACAAGGCGGAGCAGCCGGAGGAGGAGCTGACGCCTGTTGGGGCTTAGCCATGGAGGATGCCATGGTGGAGTTTGTGATCGGCGAAGATAGCGGAGCAACAAGCCATCCTTGAGTCAGTCCAGGATGAGGCCTATGTCGAGACCAACCGACGCTTCATCCGGCAGGAACGGGCGGCGACCGGCGTGCTTTTCGCCAAACTTGACGCGGAGGCGGAAACCGAAGTGAAGGAGCCGCAGAAGCCGAAGTTGCGTCTGTCGTCCATGTACCCGAAGCCGGGCATGGAGATCGTGGACATCTTCAACGAGAATTAGGGTAGTGTATGTTATTTGATCTATGTAGTGCGCAGATGTCCTCTTTTCCATGTTTTGTATGGATTTAAGGTTTCAAGCATGAGGTATCCACATGCAGAGGAGCAAATTTAAGATGTGACCGGTCACTACCCGCGGTCGCACGTCCGCAGGCGTTTGAGAGCCTGAATTTGTTGTCTGCGGCTGTAGATGCTCTAAGTTACTTGAACGTCCCAATCCAGCGTCGGCCATACCAATTGCTACCGCCACCCGCGGCCATCGATGCCCTTTTCTATGTCGTCCCTTCTGCCTTAGAGCTCTGTCTCGCATCCCTTCTTTTTGAAAATCAATTTAGAGCAACTTCAACAGTTTTCCTGTCTCTAAAATAACTTCGATTTACAAAAAGTAGGGACAAGAAACGTCACCAACAGTTCCCGGAGACTGACTATCTTTAGAGGATCCAGTAAAAGAGGTCCTTTCTTCCATTGATTTATGGGAAGATGACCTTCCCGTATCTTTTTCGAAGGAAAATAACCACCATGAAACTACCATGTGCAGCCCTCCAATACGCCGCCATCCCACGGGATATCCGCCGAAGCACCGCCACCATGCCAAAACGCCGGCATGCCGAGATGGCGCTGCCTGCGGCCACGCAACCCCTCGCCGGCGGCCACCACGCGTCCGTGTCAATGCCGGCGGCCACCTCTAACTGGCGGGCCCTAGGGGGGAAATAAAATTTTAGCTAGTTTTGTTTAATAAAAAATAAATCAAAAAAATATTTGGGGTTAGAAATTTATAGGAGCTAACAAAAGTTGCTCCCGAACAACTTCCCCTAAAAGTTATGGGAAACCAAAAAAAAACTTGTTTTAGGGGAAGTTTTTTAGAGGAACTGTTTGCTCTTAGATAAATTTGTTTTTCAGGCAACTTACCAACAGCAAATGTGGACCTTTTATCTACAAAAGATATGTGCAAGCGACAGTATCTGCTTGGATAATGGATATTTCTTCCATACTAGCATGCGTTGATCCACTGATCATGGCGAGACGAGGAGAGGCTTAAAACATGCATATTACACGATCAAATTTCAAGAGTACAAATGGCATCTATACTTTTTCTTTCCTTGGGCTGTCTGGTCTGGTAAACATGAAAGTAAAAAATTTACAGTCGCTCTTCCAAGAGTTGGAAGATAATGTTTTTTTGTTTTCTAAAGGAAGGAATTCGGCAACAATGATGTACCCACGGGGACAAATGAAAAGAATAAAAACAAGTTGGTAATCAACAAATGGGGAAAAAGGCGGCGAAATGCGACTTGCGAAGGGCGGGTTCGGATGGAAAAAAGATCGGAGGAAGTTGCTCTTCTCTCTGGGTCTTCTTTCATGCTTTGCTGCCCTCGTCATCAAAGATTACCTTTCACTGGCTCTGCTCTGGACCTCCCTCCGGTTTAGCCAACGGTTTGGTTGCTCGAGGGGAGCTCAAGGCGCAAGGAAACATCGAAGTCATCGGCTTCTTGGCCTAGGTCCCGTAATGCCTTACTGAATACTCCAGCAGCTGTTGGCTGGGGCAGATCATCTCCTTCACTCTTATGGCATTCTTGTAGATTTTGAATGTTGGAACTGTCCTCACATTCTCTGCGCGCGCGACAGCAGGGCTCTCGTTTACATCCACCTAAGTAAAATAAGAGAATAGCATATGTCAAGAATAGGCCAGAGATAGGAAGGTGACAAGGATCAACCATTTGCTCAACCACTTACCTTGAGGAAATTAACAGATGGGTATTTGGTACACAGTGCATTCACAAACGGGGAAATTTTACCGCACTGCTGATTCGAAGAAGTCATGAAATGGACGACCGAAACACCTGCGAAACCATCAAATGACAGTGCATCAGATTAAAAAAACTAACAACTTCCACCACTGCTACAAGATAGAGAGAGCAAGGTAAAAGACAAAGAATGTAACTGAATAATGTACCCCCAAACTGGCAAAAGTGCAGACTTCCAAAAAAATAGCCATAGTACAGTGCCAGCAAAACAAAGGCCACGTGAAGGTTTGCTTGCAACGCACTAAACAGTAACAAGTACCACCAACTGGTGGTACAACCTCATGCCTATCAACAAAAGTCAAGATTGCAGTACTAGTGTACTATAAAACGCTGCTCGTCTGCAAGTCAAACATCATGAAGTGCAGGCGCAAGATACAAGCAGAAGCAGCAAAACATGCAAGGTTAATCAAAATCAAATGGGATTGCTCATTCTTGGGAAGCAGTAACTTCTACAGAAGAGAGTAGTAAGTAATGTGTTTGTCAAATGTGGCAAGATTAATAAAAAAGCTTCCTTTTCCCCAAAAGGAAGAAAATCAGCGGCAAGGTTAACCTAGCAAAATAGGTAACAAAACAAAGGAGGGTGGATTCCAGTTCATTGTTTGGTTACTCTGCACCTAAGCCACTGCCACTCCTTTTGTAATAGATCCATGAAATGCCCACAAAGCGAGCAAAGAAGACAAGAAACATGATTAATCAAGGGGCACCATTTTTGCATTTCACTAATATTTGCAACAACTCACTAACTGTTTTAAGGAACGGCTGGATCAATGTGTCGACTATCAAATGCAAGGCTTACATGACAATCTTACTATTTTGTATGCTTTATTTTAAGGAATGTATATGTATGTCTCATATTATTTCAGGAACTCTACTTATGTAGATAATAGTTTGTCATTATTTTCAGTAATTGTATGTGTTATAGGGTTATAACAAATTAGCAAATGGTGGTTCCCGAAAAAGGCATGAAGCCGCATTTTCAAACGAAGGACACCAGCCAATAAGACAAACCTGGCAAGGAAGTAGCCATCTGGAATTGTTCCATTCCTGTAACTGCTTCAACCTCTCCTCCAAACTTCAGGTTTGATACTTCCTCACCCCGAGATGACTTGAGGGCAACCTGAGCATGGAAATAGGCCTCAGCAACCTCAGTGTCACCTGGGAGTTCCTTTCTTAGAACCTCATAATCCTTCAACGATTCCGCCCATCGCTCCATCTAAACATCAAATGTGCAACGATTTCTGAGTTTTTCAGTTCTAAATCAGAAAAAGCACAAAAAGATAAACAATATGCTACCTTGCCATAGGAAGCTGCACGCCTCAGCAGAGCCTTGGTATAATTGGGTTGAATCATGAGGGCTTCATTGCAGTCCTCAATAGACTTCTCCCACTGCCCTAGCTTGAACCTGCAAGCGGCCCTGTTGCAGTGAAGGACCGGATTTACAGGGTGATGTTTGAGCCCTTCGCCATAAGCCATGCAAGCTTCTGAAAATTTTCCAGATTTAAATAGCTCATTCCCTAGAGATCGTGCTCTTGCTACAGCTTTCACATTGTTATGCATTGTTATCACTTCGACATTTCTTGGGTCTATTATTCTGGCCTTGTCAGCTGAAGAGACAGCATGATCGAACCTGCAAAATGTTCACTAGTGTCAAGTCATGTAAGGATACAGCTATAACAGGCAACCGATGAGTTTACCTGCCAAGTCAAAAACGCTTTGAACAAAGTTGTTTTTCAAGCTACACTCACATGCTCTTATCTGTGCGAGTATAATGAGTAAACGCTGAATTACCTTCCCAATGCAATGTCAACTTGGGCATGTGCGTAATAGAGGTATGCGTTGGCAAAGAAGCCACAGAATTTGGTGTCTGAGGTGCAGGAAGATGAATAATCCAACTTGGAAGCACTGGAGATGGCCATATCAGCCTCATCGAGCTGATTGAGCCGGAGAAGAGCCTCTGCTCTCGCGGCAAAGAGCTGCAAGAGGTGAATCACATAAGTATATACTCTCTGATCAAGAAATCGCTAGTCAATATCGGATTGGATAATGGGCAGAATCAAACCAGAGCAGAGGAGTCAGCTCCAGCCGCGATAGCGGCATCACATTCCCTCAGCACATTCTTCCAGTCCCCAACCTTCCGTGAATCAAGGCATCTGCCCAGGTGCTTTTCCACTGTTTGTAATTTGTGCAGCTCTAGGAGGTCAGGCTGTGGGGTTGCCAGGGTAAGGTGCTTCTGAGCATCCTCAAGGTGTCCCAACCTGCAATTCAACAAGATCCTTCAGATGAATAACTTGCACAGCTGAAGAATTCAAGGGTCACTTAATCTGGTACCAGTGATGAATCTAGGTAGTAACTAGTGTTGACCGATTTACTAACTATAGCAAAAACGAGCACATCCGTGTGCCCATCGTTACCATTTATGTTTTGTTCCAAATTCAGCTATTTCTGATTCTCGCGGAACTGGAGGAGCAGATATTTTCATGCCAAGGAAGGAAATCCAGGGGCACATAAAGCAGTGTCCATTTCAGATCAATCAGTCTCCATATGGATGCCAACTTGTCAAAGCATTTCCGAAATAAAGTTAGAAAAAACGTGTGCCCACTGTACAAATCGCCTTCCGTTACCAGCCAATAATGAAATAAACACTTCATGCACATGTGTGTTTTGTAAACCCTGCTAAAAATAGCAAATTTGCTTTCATATTATTGCTGCATTGTGGCTGTGGGGGCAAAGCCATGTTGTTATTCAGATCGCTGGAGCAAATAATCTTACGTGGCGTAAATAAAAAAGTTGTTTTCAGCAACCGGAGCAACCGACAGTGAGGGCGCCAAGAACAAAAATCATTTCGCAGTAAACACACGCGCAGATCTAAGGGCAAACAATTCATTCACCTTATGTGAAGCGAGGCGAGCCGTTGGTGCGCGCGTCCGTACGACGGATCGATCCGCACGGCCTCCTCGCACTCCTTGATGGCGTCGCCGAAGCGGCGGAGGCCGGTGAGCGCGGCGGCCCGGTTGCCCCGGCATGCGGCATTGTCCGGGGACAAGGCGAGCGCGCGGTCGTAGAGCCTGAGCGCCTCCTCGAAGTAGCCCTTCTTGTACTGCTCGTTGCCGGCCCTCTTGAGCTCCTCCGGGTCGGCGCTGGACATGGCCCGCCTGACCGCGGCGTCCTCCTCGGGGGCCACGCCGCCGCTGCGCGAGCGGATGATGCTCCCGTGGCCGTAGTTGCCGGTGCCGGAGCCGAGCACGTCGTGGCGGATGGCGCGGGGAGGGGCCGGGGGCGGCGGGGTGGAGGCCGCGGAGAAGGAAGGCAGCGGCTTGGCGAGGCGGCCGGTGGGGCAGATGTTCCCGGCGGGGAGCGCGTTGGTGAGCGGCGAGGTGGCTGAGCTGGAGGTGGAGCCGGAGGTGAAGATGAGGGGGCCGGAGCCAGTGCGGCGGTGGCCCGGGCGCGCCCCGCGCGGGGGGGCGTCGGAGGGGAGCGGGATCTCCCCGGAGTGGCTCCGGCGCGAGGCGAAGGCGGGCGCCCGGGAGACGGAGCCGGAGGAGCCCGAGGAGGAGCTCGGGGTGTGGTGGTGGTGGTGGTGCTTGGAGGAGGAGTGCGGGAGCGGGGAGACGGGCGAGAGGCGACCCGGCGGGAGCGTGTCGGGCTTGTCGTTGGAGGAGAGGAGCACGGCGGCGGCGAAGGCGTCGGAGAGCGTGTCCGGCATTG